AAACGAACAAATAGTATGGATTGAAGTAATATGCAAATGAATTAATAATCAAAATAAATTTTGAATGTTAATTTATGAATAAAAATGTTAAAAGCAATATAGATAGTTGGGTTTTAGGAGCTTAAGCTCTGATACTAGATGATGTGGAAGAGTATGGGGACAGTCGAATCAACTCTTATAACCCGTTCGAATGCATGCAATATAAAAACTTAACCGCTTAAAATTAGCCCTCCCTCTACTTGAATCTACAATACCTAAAAGCATGCAAAATCAGACCTATGGAATTAAAACAAAGAAAACAAAGACACTACGGACTTACTCGATGAGTCGATCCCGACATCTTGGCTCTACAAGACTTCGTAAAGCTCCTAACTTGTGAAGAACTTGAGGATACTGAAGAAATTAGCAAAGTTAATTCTTGAAGAAAGTAAAGGTTCAAATTTTTGTTCTCTCAAATTGTGTTTACAACCTATGGATAAAGGTCTTTATATAAATTTTTTTTGAGATAATTCTAAATTGTTATAAGGACTTAGAAAATTAATACAATATTAATTTATCATAATCTAAAGTATAAACAAATAACTAAATAATATTAGGGAATAAATTTTATATTAAAATAATCATAAAAATAATATTTAAAAAAATTAGATGTAACAGCCCGACCTAGGATTCACTAATTTCATTACTGAAATTTTGGAAAGAAAATTAAAATTTTAAAATAAATTTAGGACGGAATTTAAAAAAAATTTAAACCTATTAAATAGTAAAATTAATTAAACTAAAATTGTTTAGGAAATATTGGAATGCATAAATTAATAAAACTAAAATATTTTTGAAACTAAATATTAATTAATTAATTTTTAAAGAAACAATTTAAAATAAATATTCAAATAATTTAAAAATAATATTCAAAACCGAAATTAAATTAAATAGGAATTTAGGAACTTAAACGAGAAAAATCATAATTTTTTGGAGCCTTTTGGGCACTAAAAAATAGGGCTTAGGGGCCTAATTAAAAAATAGGGCCCATAGGTCACCCAGACCATTTCAGATCTAATTCAACGGCCAAAAAATTTTAGGGATGGGTATTTAAGGGTCCTTTTCTTTTGACCCTTAACCCTAGCCGCCAGAAGAGATGGGACTGGGAGAGAATGGAACATAGGAGAAAGGTAGGAGGGAGCGGAGCACGGATGCGCTGCCGTGCTGGAGGTCCTAATATGCTCCGGAGAGCGTTTTTTTTTTTTTTTTCCTTTCTCCATTGTTTCTCTCTCGTTATCCTAATTGAATGTTTATCCATTCATTTTAGCTAGGAAATGTAGAAACCGAGAATTGGAAGCTAGGCTGTGGCCGTGAATGAGGTCAGTTTAGGCTTCCGTTTGGAGGTAAGGATACATTAACCAATCTCTAATCCTTTTCAGATATATAGTCCAGCCATAAAATAACAAAAAAAAAAAAATTTATATCGTTTTGAAAACCAAAATCACGCAAGAGGTAAGTTAGATAGGTCACTTTCGCTGTAGTTCAAAAATATATTCGTTTTAAATATTATTATCTTTGAAGTGATATATTGTTTTAAATCTGAATGGACTCGTACCAATATAAGCAGACGAACAAGTATGTTGTTGTGGGGTGTGAAACCGCAAATATTTGAAGTGCATGGGTGAAATAGAAATTCAAGAATTGTGTTTTAAATTTTTAAATTTAGAAATCGGTGAAATTTTTTAGTAAAAGGAATATATGCTCATAGGAGTTTTAAGTAGGAATAAATAAAGAAAATCTGCATAAATATTATTGATAAAGGAAGCAAAAAGGGAATAGATAGATGGGTTTACTTTTAGGGGATGCTGGAATTTAAATTTAATATTGGCTAAAAAGTGAGTGAATTAATTAAACGGGGGAAGGGAAAGATATAATCAATATATAAATTTATATCAAATTTTAGGATATATATATGTAGTATATACAGTATAGCCTACGGAAATATATGCTAATATGTAAATGATTATATAGAAATATAAATATATATGTAATATGATATAAGTATAATATATATATATATTAAAATAGAGTATATATGTATGTATGTGTATATGGGAGAGGAGTAAATAAATTAAAATTGAAATGAAAAATTTAATAAATGGTGATAGTCATGAGAATTGAATTTGATTGAATACATAATTAATGGGAATTGGATTTAATTGAATAAATAATTAACAAGGATTATGTAACGATCCCGGAAAATATCTATAGAAAATAAATGATACTTAAAATACGAAAACGAAATAAATGTTTAATATTTACATTCCTCACACAATAAGTTAAAGTATCAATTAATGTTACGAAATTTACCATTTTGAAAGAAATACAAAGAAATAAGGAAATGAATGGAAGATAAAGAAAATTAACATTCTACTCGCAACCCTCTTGCAGATCGGGCTCTGGATCCTGATTCTCTTAATATGAAATGGTTAAATAAGGGATAAACTATATTAACTCAATAAGAATATCACACTATATCACTGACACATAAATGAAGGTTGGTAGAAAAAAATTAAAAAACAACTAATGGAGTACTAAATTAAGCAAATTCATTTATCAATAATAAAACCATCTAACATCCACTTAATGTAGTGAGATTTTTTGAAAATAATATATAGAAAACAATAACATTATATATATCATGATTCCATATATAATTGGCAACATAACACATTATACTTTCATATTCAAATCATCAAACAACAATTGCCTATTTTTTCACCAGACTGTTGGTATCCATAGGGGTTCATAGGGATGTCCCCGCTACGCGTGAACCTTTTCCTTTAACATTCTCAATTACGAGCCGTCCCCATACTTTGTCCAGTATGAGTGCCAAATTATCAATCCTCAATACTCCATCCAGTATGAGGGTGAAGCGAGCCATCTTCATACCCTGTTCGATATGAGTACCAAGTTACCAAGTCTTCATACCCCATCCGGTATGAGACACGTTCACTGTAGGGTTCCCTGTGTACCCGATCCGTCCACCATCTCCCAAGATGTCCAGTAAGACTGTCGTTTCATCCAATCACTTAATCACACAAGTTTTTCGTTTACTTTTAACCTCTATTTTTTCAATTCGACTACAAACACGTAAAACAACAATACATGCATTCAAAGTTATAAAATAAATCAATAAAACACTATCATGCATTTAAATTGTAAAAATAATCGACAGAAATCAACAGAGAATAGTTTCTGGTTCTGTCTCCATTGGCAATCTGTAATTAATCATGAACTTTTTTTAAATTGTACAAAATACTGTATTTATTGTTAATTAGACTTCAATTCTATAACAGAGAATAGGGTGAAGGATTTTTACTCAATTTGATGCCCAAAATGCTAAACTATTGATTGCGCCAACTGATGGTCCCTAGGTTCCTTGAATTTTTTTTTGGGGATCAAAACATGTTATAAGCACCTACAAATATCCCAGACAAACCCTAAATCAGTCTCAGGGCCCATTTTGGCCAATTTTGGAATTCCGGCATGGTGGCTATACCGTGCTCCGGCGACAGCACCACCGCCCCCAGTGGCGGTCCACCTCGAGTCGGCTGTTTTTGGCTGATTTTGCATCAATCCTTGCGAAAAAACATGTTAGGGAGTCTTAGTTAGCCGAAAAAATACAAAAAACTGAAACTCACCGGCGGCAGGACTCTCTGGTGCGGCGGCTCCTCCGACTCACGTCACAGTTGGGTGTTTTGCTCTGGTCAACCTATAAAGAAGGAAACAGTGATCACAACGGTGAAAAAATTACGCAGAACAGGAATCGAGAAGGGCCTCATGGAGGCGTTTTGTGGAATTCTCCGTGGCTGTGCTGCCAGGTGTTGTCCACGTTTTTCGGCCAATTAGTCGGTCTTTTTGTTCCGATTTGGCCATGAGTGTGTTTAAAATTGAATTATGAGCAAATGAATTTTTTTTTTACCTCTTTTGGCGGTCGGAAAGGGGTCCTCGCGACAGCGGTCTCCTTCCCAGCGACTGGGTCTTCTTTTTCGGTGAGGGGGTCTGGCGGTTAGAGTTAGGGTTTGGTGTGAATGGGGGTTATTTATATCCATTCGCATTTAATCTGGATCATCCATCGCATTTGATCTGGATCGTCCGATTGCGATTAAATAGGAAGTGAATCTGGATCGTTCTTCGCCATCTAATATGAGCCGTTTGATCACATTTTAATTTTGACCGTCCGATTGCATTTGTGAGAGAACGCATCAGGCCGTCCGTACGCGCAGGAACGGATCTGCGCCGTTCTATCATGGGCACGCGGATCGTCCGCGTAGCCTCTGCGTGGCACTGCATCAGTGTTCACTGCCATACGGCACGTCGTGATTCGTCGGGGCTGCTGATCGGGCATCTTACGTGGCAAAACTTCTCTAAATTACATTTTGACCTCGGTTTTCGATTTTTCTTTTAAAAATATCCCCATAACCTAAATTTTCACCATTTTTTCCCAAAATTGGTTTCAATTTAATCATCCATCAATTTTACTTCATTTTTACTCTGAATTGAAAAATTAAGAAATTATATTTATAAATAAATCTTAAATTACGTTAAAAATTAATTTAGGGTATTACAACTCTCCCTCCTTTAAAAGAAATTTGGTCCCTCAAATTTGTTTCTCTCACTCTTAATGAAACAGTTGGGATATTTGGATTTGAAGTCTGATTCTAGCTCCCATGTGGCATCTCTCGGTGTGTGATTCTGCCATAGGACCTTAACAAAGAGAATTTTCCAGTTACAAAGTAATATGCTCTTTCGGTCCACAATGTTGACCGATACTTCTTCATATGATATATTCTCCTGTAGTGAAAGAGACTCGTGGGCCAAGACGTGAAAGGGGTCCAGGTTGTACTTGTGTAGCGTGGACACATGAAACACATTATGGACCCTGAAAAGTTCTAGAAGCAGTGCCAGTTTATAGGTGGCGGTACCAATTCTGTCTAAGATTTCAAATGGTCTAATAAATCGGAGATTCAGTTTCTCCATTTTGTCGAACCTACTGATTCCTTTGAAATGAGTGACTTTAAGGAATACCCGATCGCCTTTCTCAAATTCCAAGTCCCTCCTCTAGGTATTCGCATAACTCTTCTACATACTCTAAGCCATCTGAATGTTCTTCCTGATCTTAGCTATTTTGGCTGTAGTCTCCTTTACGAGATTTGGGCCGAATAGTTTTCTATCATCCACTTCTTTCCAACATATCGGCAATCTACATGGGTGGCCATACAACGCCTCATACGGAGCCATGCTAATACTTGCTTGGTAGCTGTTGTTGTAGGCAAATTCTATCAGGGGTAGATGGTCATCTCAATTGCCCCCAAAGTCAAGAACACAAACTCAGAGCATATCCTCAAGTGTGCGGATTATCCTTTTTGATTGTCCATTGGTTTAAGGGTGGAGTGCATTATTAAGGGATAATTTCATCCCCATGGCTTGCTGAAGGCTAGACCAAAACCAAGAAGTGAACTTGGGGTCCTTGTCGGACACTACTGTCACTGACACTCCATGTAATCTGACTATTTTTCAGATATATATTCTTGATAACTTGTCCAAGAGATCGGTCATCCTGATGGCCAAGAAGTGGGAGGACTTGGTAAGCCGGTCACCAATTATTCAGATGACATCATGTCCTGAGCGTGCCTTACGTAATCCTGTCATGAA